TCAGTAAATTAAATGAGATCTAGCAGTGTGACCAAAAAAAAAAAAAATCCAATGTAATTTTTGGGCTTCTAACACAGAGGCATCGTGTCATGTACCCAGAAGTGATAGATGTCTCTCTCAGTATACAATACTGATGAGATAGCACCTCGACTACTGCTTTCAGATTTAAGTACTTTCAGTACCAATAAAGGTGAACTGGAAGGAGTTCAAGAAGTGTGGAAGGAAAAGGAAAGGCCTATAGAAACTGTTTGGCGATGAAATAGTAACTGAAAATAAACAACTATAGCGTGGCCAAAAAAAGAGTGGGAAGAGTAAGCACAGTGTCACATTTCTTACAGTGGAAAGTTTCCAGTGGATGGAAAATAGAGTCAGATGCAAGAGTGAAAGCTGGACAGGGAATAAATATTAACTGTACATGGCCAGAGCTCTGGCCTCTGCCCCTGCTGAGACCCACCCAGACATTTGTTGGGGGGTGTTTGAAAGGAAAGAATAAGGACTTACTCTGAGGCCTGGAAACAAGAGGGAAGCACTCAGAGCTGTGTGAGGCAGAATTTAGGCTGAAATAGATAAATAAGCATAACAGGCAGCTCTGTCGATCCAGGGAATGGTTTGCTAAGGGGAGCTACACCTGGTTTGGCTGAAGCAGAAGTGCACACACATGGGGAACCATGTGCATGGGGAGGGGAATGGGTCTTCTTTGGGGAAGGGCAAGAAAGGAAGGATAGAAAAGAGGGAGAGAAAAAAGGGAGGAAGGGAGGAAGGAAGGAAGTGAATTGTGGTAGAATTTTAAATAATTTTATCCCAAAGAAATAACTATTTCGTTCCCCATGCCAAAACAACGCTGCAGCGTTATTTTACATTTCCAGGTAGTTTTGGCTGGTTGTTTTTTTTTTTTTTTTAAGCATTTCCAGGTAATTTTCTATGTCTCCAGCCCCACGTCGATTTTTCCTCCCACCGCCAACACCCACCCCGCCGCCTCCGAGGTGGGCCGTGCATTCCTCCCGCTGCCCAGGAGATGGTGCTGTGGATTTTGGATCGGGAGCGCAGCTACCGGGGCCGGCTGGCCGGTAGGTCCCCGCAGAGCCCAGAGGAGACCCACCGGCCATCCGGCGGGTCTCAGCGGGGACCCTCAGGTGCCGTTGATCCCTCTGCAGCCCTCCAAACCGGTCCCCACGCCCCCCCCCCCCCCCCCCCCCCGCGAAAGGCATGGCTGGGGTGTGGGGGTGGCATCCCTCACCCCAAGACAGCTCAACTCTTCTGCGCTGTCAAGTCCTTCAATGCAGTTTTATTTCTCCTCCTGCAAAGGATGCTTTCCTCCGATTCTCAGCCCCTCGCCACACAAATACACACACCCCCCCACCTCCCCACACACCCCCCCAGCCCGGCTGCACACACGCACCCTCCACGTCCCACCACCCTGCCCGATCCCCCTGGCCCCGGGGAGCAGGGAGCTGGGGCGGGCGTCCCGTGGGGCTGAGAGCATCGCCCCCTTCTCCTCCCCAACACGCGGGCCCGAGCCCCCCCGTGGGCTGCCGGGCCCCCGTCTGCTGCTGGAAATACTTCCCAGGCTGGGAAATCACCGGCCTCCTGGGGCTGCCTCTGGCCAGACACCTCTGAGGAGGTTTGCACCGCGATGGAGCTGTCATATTCTTTCTTTTTACTGTCTTTTCTTCACCTTGAACTTAAATAAAGTTTGCTTGAGAGTGAAGACAACACAGAAGCAGCTGCGGCAAACGCAAGCCCTCGCCGGCACTCGACTTAGAGCTGGAAAAGCCGGGCAGACCCTGCAGCTGGGGCTGCCCACCCACCCCCCCACCCCCCCGCGCTGGATTTGGGGGTGGCGGGGGGAAAATTCGTCTCCTGGCTCTGCTCTCTCCCAGACTCGGCGTCCCGGGGGCTGGAGGGCTCGGGGCTGAGCCGCTGGAAGAAGGACCGGGAATTTGCGGGTGATCCCAAGCCCTCAGCTCGCTGCGGGGACCGTCCTGCCGTGCCTCTGCCCGGAGCGGGCAGGGAGGGGGCTGCCTTCATCTATCTGAAACCTGCCTCACCAGCATTCAGCTCCTGGGCGCCTTTAGGGAAAATCTGGAGAGCGTCCTTCCCCCCGGAGGCTTTTCAGCAGACGGGAAGCCCAGCCCTGGGGAGAGGGAAAGGGGGTTTTAACTTCCCTCCCAGGTGGGGAGCAGAATAAAATGACTCTCGAGTAGATCTTGCAAAAGACGCCAGGGAAAATTGGCGACCCCTGAGCTGCCGGCTCTCAGCTGTGTTCTGGGACGCTGCAGGCTCCTGGCCACCCCTGCCCCCGTCTCCCGCCCCACGCGGGACGGCCCACGCCCGGCCGCTCACGGCGGAGGCTGCGTGATGCTCCAGAGCGGCCGGCTCTGTCCCTGCCCGCAGACCCCTCTGCAGCTGGGCTCCGGGCTGCTCCTTTCCCGAAATCCTGACCCGGGCGGAGTGGAGCCGGTGGCAGAGGGCTACGGGGCAATTAAACCAGGTAACGAGACGCTGGGCAGATGTGTTTTCATGGAGCTGTAAGATAAACGCAGTGTTAAATGCCTGACAACTTCCCAGAAGCAATCAGCAAAAGTTTACGAGTGCATAAACCTCAAAGACTATTCCTCGGTATTTTTATAAGCCCCGCATTTAAAGCTTCTATAAATTCTTCTGCCTGCTTCCAAACTAAAGTTCCCGTAGACTATTAAACATCCACTTCTTCGGGAGGGGGGGGGGAGAGACAGAGCACAACAGGCAGGACCGGGGGGAGGCGAGAGGGGGTCTCTTTTTGTCTCCTCCACTTTCCCTAACCCTCAAACCACCCCCTAAGCTAAAGTTTGGAAGAAAGTTGGCTTCACTAAAGCACAAGTCACAGATGAACGCAACGGCGAGATGACCGGGATACATCCCTGTCTTAAGAACAGGGGGCAGACCCATAAAGAAAGGGAAAGGAAAGGATGAAGAGAAATAAAAGAAAAAAAGCGAGGTGGATGGAAGGACGGGCAGAGGCAGGGACAAGCGCATAAACAGATCCACAGGCAGATGAGCAGCAGGCGGGCTGGCGGGTGGACAGGGACGAGCAGAAAGCTGAGACGAAGAGACAGAAATTCCAAACGCAGAGCGCCTATCTTGACCGAAGGCAGCCGAGGACAAGAGGAGGCGGCCGGGACCTCCTGGACGTGGCCGCGATGTCCCCCCGTCCCCCCCCGCCCCGACGGCGCGGCCCGGCAGCGCCCGCCGCCCCTCGGGGCAAGCTGCAGCCCCGGGGCAAGCAGCCCCGCCGCCGGCGGAGCGGGAGCGTACGCCGTCCCCCAAAATTGCAGGCAAAAAAGAGGGGAGGTAGCGCTAGTGAACCCACAGATCAGCGGGAGAGATCGAGGCCGAGACCTCCGTCTTCGAAGGGATAAGCTGCGAGGGACGAAATGTTCCCGCTAACCATCAAATTACAGTAAGAGCATCCGCCAGCCTGAAGTGACCACATGAGTTTCACAAGTTGGATACTGAACAGGTTAAATAATAATAAAAAACCAAACCAACCCCCCTATTGCGATTATAAAGCCCTTTGTTTACGATCCCATGGAAAATTAAGTTGCTAATTGGAAAACAATAAACCTAAAATGCCTTTGGATTAATAATGATAGAGGTTAACGGTGGCATCCCTTGGAAAGGGGGAGGGGAGCGAGGCGCCCGGTGACTGTGCGCTTGGACGGCGACCAGGGACAAGCGCAGCAGCCAAACGGGGCTGGGGGGGGCGGACGGGGGGCGAGATTTCCTCCCCCCCCCCCCCCCCCCCCCCCCGCCCCCTCCTCTTCGGAGGACTCGGCTTGTATGTTCGCCTCTGATCCGGAGACACGAGGTGAGGAAGGTCTGTATTGTAGTCATGTCCTCGCTAGATGAAATCTCAGTCAATTACTTTGAAATCTGCAGCTTGGCTTCTTTTCATTCTTTCCAGGTGAAAATTCAAACGTTTTCTGTTGTCGCCTGGTCCTTTCTTTCCTGAAACAAGGCACCCAACTGTTCTGATATTACCATTCAAAAACAGGTTCTGTGGCAAACCTCATTTGTGAATCTATTACAGAGATTAATAGATTATTTCTCCTTTTTCAACTAATTCTCAGTGGGGAAATTTAACCATATGGTAAGGAGAGAATTAGAATTTCATCACATTAGAGCAAAATGTAATGAAAAGAGTCCAACACCTGGGGCCAACTCCGAAAGACACAATTAAAAGGTTTTTAATGAAACCAGAGAAACCAAAAAATTTCATAGCCTTCAGTAATTCTGCCACATAAGAATGATTTACTGGAAGTGTTGGGAAATATTGTTTTTACTGATGTCATAAGGATGAAAACCTGCCACTAAATACTCTGAGCGCTAAGAGTAAAGCGAGAGCGAGCTGCTCGCCTCGAGCTGTAGAGGAGCAGTGGGACAAAAATTCAAACCAACCCTGGGGTTGCCACTTCAGCTTCTAGGAGAGAGCAGAAAGAGCGTGTGTTCGGCTCCGAGGAGAAGCCCCGGGAGGGGAGCAGGGGGGGTAACCGGGGCGCTGGGGCCGCTCTCGCCCCGGCACCGGCATCCCGGCGTTGGGGAGCGGAGCGGGGTGCTCCCGCCGAGGGAGGCAGGCACGGACGGAGCTGCGAAGAGTTGGTCAATCACAATAAATAAATAATAATTTAAAAAAAAAAAAAAAAAAAAAGAAAAGTTTGGTGGGTTTTGCCCTTTCTCACCCCTCCCTCCCTCCTTCCTCCCCAGATCGGTTCATTTTCAAGGTAACTGATGGGGCTTTTTTTTTTTTTTTTTTTTTTTTTTTTTTTTTTAATAGGGACACGGGGGATAATCACACGAAAGCGGCAATCTGCTACTTGAAAAAGGCTAAAGGGAGGAGGAGAGAAACCACCCCGTAGTTTGGTCTCCGTTTGCTGGGGGGGGGTGTGGGGGGGAGGTGGAAAGTGGGGGCTGGGGACCATTCGCCTGCTAGGGAAGCAAGGTGGACTTTGTCGGCGGGCAGGAGTGGGCACGGCTGTTCGGGTTGGTCTGGGTTTAAAATTTTTTTTTTATTATTATTATTTTTTTTTTATTTATTTATTTCTTTCCCAGGCGAGCCTTGTCGCGAAGACGGGTGGGGGTGGGAGGGGGCTATAAGTTAATGTAAATGCAGGGGGTGGGTGGGCTGGGGTGGGGGGAGAGGGTGTCACTCCTGACTCCACGGCTAAGTTAGCAGAAGTCTGCTGGCAGCACTCGGAAGGGGACGTGTCGAAGCGGGCTTTTTCTGCAGTGCAGGGTTGTAATTTGCTGAAGGAGGCAAAGAACATCCTTCGATCTAAGTAGGGCTTTTAGTGTGCTCATTGATGAGTGAAAGTCGCCACACATGTCAAGCTAAAGGCAGTTGTTGGGTTACTAACAGGACACAACGTCTTGCAAACATATGCGTTAAGCTGTGTATACAGATGGCAGGGAGAATAATGGAGCAGGCGCCTCTTATAAAGCTCTAGCTGCTGCCTGTCTTCAGACCTGGGAAATGAAACTATTCAGACTCAGGGCCAGATAGCGCCGGGGATTGTTTGTTACCGTTTTAATCCTATTAATTAAAACGTTAACCTGATTGGGTAGAAAGCTCTGTCCCAACAGGCGAGTCTTCTTCATAATAACCTACTCTCAGAGATAATGATGTAAAAGACTCCCCCGTCTGCGGCGGCTGCTGGTTGATGGGTCCGGAAATCTCTTGAAGGTGAATCCAAGCAAGATAAACGGTGGAAGCGGCTCCGCTGGCAGCGCACAATGCCCCAGCGCGGCGCCTGCTGAGGGCGAGCCGGAGCCGGAGCCGGAGCCGGAGCCGGAGCCGGAGCCGGAGCCGGAGCCGGAGCCACAACCGCCGCCGGAGCCGCCGCCGGAGCCGGGGCAGCCGCGGCGCCGGGCACGGAGCAGCCCCGGCGGGAGCCGGGGGGCCGATTTCTGCCAGCGGGACGCCGGGGAGCCGCCCGCCGCGGCGCGGAGCCTTGGAGGAGCGGGCCGGGAGCTGAGGGGGGCGGAGGAGGCGGAGGCGGAGGCGAGCGGGGCGCCGATGGAGCGGGCGCTGGGGCTGCCCGCAGAAGAGGACCTCTTCCACAAGAGCCTCGCCGCCTCGGCCAAGCGCATGGAGTCCGCCTTCCGCTCGCCCCCGGGGCTCGACCTCTCCCACCCCCGCGACCGCCAGCCCTCGCCGCTCGCCTGCTACGAGGCGGCGGAGCCCGAGGGGCTGCTGCAGCCCGGCGTCGGCGGCGACCCGCTGGCGCTGCCGCCGGGCTCCGTCTGCGTCAAGTACGGCGAGAGCGCCAGCCGCAGCTCGGTGGCCGAGAGCAGCGGCGGCGAGCAGAGCCCCGACGACGACAGCGACGGCCGCTGCGAGCTGGTGCTGCGCGGCGCCGGGGGGGACCCGCGCGTCGCCTCGCCGGCGGCGGGCGGCGGCGGCGGCGGCGGCGGCGGGGGGGGCGGCGGGGGGCTGAAGGCGGCCGAGGGAGGCTGCTCCAACAGCCACGGGCACGGCGGCAGCAAGAAGTCCAAGGAGCAGAAGGCGCTGCGCCTCAACATCAACGCGCGGGAGCGGCGGCGGATGCACGACCTGAACGACGCGCTGGACGAGCTGCGGGCGGTGATCCCCTACGCGCACAGCCCCTCGGTGAGGAAGCTCTCCAAGATCGCCACGCTCCTCCTGGCCAAGAACTACATCCTGATGCAGGCGCAGGCCCTGGAGGAGATGCGGCGCCTGGTGGCTTATCTCAACCAGGGCCAGGCCATCTCCGCCGCCTCCCTGCCCAGCTCGGCGGCGGCGGCGGCGGCGGCGGCGGCCGCGCTGCACCCCGCGCTCGGCGCCTACGAGCAGGCGGCCGGGTACCCCTTCAGCGCCGGGCTGCCCCCCGCCACCTCCTGCCCGGAGAAATGTGCCATTTTCAACAGCGTCTCCTCCAGCCTCTGCAAACAGTGCACGGAGAAGCCTTAAGCGCCGCCGCCCTTGCCGCCCCCCCCCGCCGCCGCCGCGGCCCCGGGGAGCGGCGACGGCCCCGGCTCCGGGCCGGGGGGCGCGGGGGCGGCGGAGGGGACTGAGCGCTGCCCGGCCCCCGCCGCCCGGCCTCGCCTCGCCTCCCTCTGCAAATCGGGTTTTGCCGAGACGGGACCGCGGCGGCAGCCGGCGGGCGTGCGGCGCCGGGGAGGGGGCGCGGGGCCCGGGGCGCCGCGGGGAGGAAGCCCCGGCCCGGGGACGGGGACGGGGGGGGGTGTGGGGGGGTTGGGGACGGGGGGGGGTCGCCGCTCTCGCCGGGCGCCCGCTGCGCGGCCGGACAAAGGAGAGGCCGGGAGGGGAGCCGGGGCTAGCGGCGGGGAGGGGGACGGAGAGAGACCCCCCCCACACCCCATTCCCCCCCCCCCCCCCCCCCGGCCCCGGCGGCGGGAAGGGACCGCAGCGACCCGGGCGCGGAGGTGGATGGGACAAATCAGAGAGGGCACTTGAACATAGATTTTTTTTTTTAATTATTATTATTATTATTATTAGCAGTATTATTATTATTATTCTGAGCCAGGAAACAAAACAAACTTGAAATGTAAACTTATTATTTAAGCGACTCGCAGAAACAAAGAGACTGGACCATTGCTATGGAAGACTTTGTATTTTTTATCGTCTCTCAACTTTGATCCTGTGAAAATGCGCAAAGTTTGGTGAGAGTGATTTGAAAAAAAAAAAAAATCGAGAGAGTTAAAAAAAAAAAAAAAAGACAAAAATAACCGATCAAAACCCCGACTCCGTGTGGCTGAAAGTATCGCATTTTTAAAAGAAATATTTATGTGCACCTTGTTTCTTTCCACTTTGCAATGATGTATAAACAAGACATGCTATTTATTTGTTATTCTTTAAATGACCCTTCCACGCCAACAATATTTATCATGTGTTAAGGTCACGGGTCTTATGTGCAGTTACTTTAAATGCTTCTAAAATTCTGTTTATGGATTAACTTAAACTGTGTGCCAAGTGTTTAAAACGTTTATTTGCCAACAACGTATAACCAGAAATGTTGATGTATCCGAGCTGCTTAGGTTTATGAAAGGTCATCTGGATTTTAAGTTGCATCATCCCTGTATTTAAATTGAGCTTTAATAAATTGCTTCAGTCCAAAAATTACAGGAAAGGTGTATTCTTAATTGCTCAACCAACTGATTTTTGGAAGGATATTCTTTGCATTATAACAGGTAATAGCTATTTACTTTAACAAGGCATCAGAGCAATAGCTGCTACAAGAACACTTGTCAAGCCAATGTTTTCCCAGGCGCTGTGTTTTCAAAGGTATAATTTAAACCGCTTTTAATGTGTATGTAAATTATTCTGACTGTGGATGATTATTTAAGTTAAAATACTTTAAAATACTTTAGGCTGATTTACAGAGCGCGTGGAATTCTTTTTTTTTTTTTTTTTTTTTTTTCAGGGCGGGGGGGTGTGGGTGGGTGGGCTTTTTTTTTTTTTGAAGAAAAACGAGAGATGAAAAGCAAGAAGTAGCTATTTACCCAAAGTGAGCCTTCAGTTTGAGTTTGCATGGCTGGGTGGCTGTCTCTCTGCCATTTGTAAATCAAGATTTTTTTTTTTTTTTCCCTTTTTTTCTTTCTTTTTTTTTTTTTTTTTTTTTTTTTCAAAAACGAGTCCTGCTATTTTCCACTCCTTGCAGACAATACAAATTCGGACTGTCAGGTTGGATGGCAAAATAGGAGCCATGATGGATCTGTTGGCAGGTCACGGATGTGTAAAGAGTGATATATATTAAATAGGTCAATCAAATTATGACAGCAATGTACGATCGTTTGTATGTGTATCTATGTCGGAAAGAATCTTTATTAAAATATTTTGAACAAACGCTTGCATTACGCTGTGCTTTGTTAAGCATGTATCTCCAGATTTGAGGAGGTGGAGGGGGGTGGCGGGTGGTTTCCTTGCTCTGAAGGCTGCCCTGCCGCCCCCCCCCCCCCACTCCCGGCTCAGGGTGTCCCAGGGAGGGGGGGGGGCGAGAAGTTTTTCCCCGCTGCGCGTTCCTCCCGCGCCCGTGGCGGGCGGACCCCGGCGGTGCGGGGCAGCCGTGGGGCAGCGCCGGGCCCTGACCCACCCGTCCCGCGGCTCCACGCACGCCTCTGACCCCGGGTGTGCCCCGGGCTGAGCTGCAGAACCACCCCACACCCCCCCCCCGTCCCCGTCTCCTCCCTATCCCTCCCTCACCCCCCCAAGTTTTGGAGCCGCCCCTCCCCTCGTGAACACTCCACCCTGCCCCAAACCCGAGGGCCGGGGGGGGGGCAGGCAGCCCCCCAAAGCTGCCCGTCCTGCGCTGGGCCGGGCCGGGCCGGGGGTGCCGGCCTCGCCGGGGTCCCCCCTCCCTTCGGGGGGCCCGGGCTGGCTCCGGGGGTCCGCGGAGCCGCCACTCCCAACGGCACCACCACAGGCGGGGGAAGGAGGATAAATATTTTCTGCTCCACTTCCCATCAAAAAAGATTAATCAGAACCTGTAACTTTTCAGGAAACATAACTGTAAAGTGCCACGGAGCTGTGGGAAGGCAGCCCAGAGAGGGTGGGCAGATCAGCCCCCAGGCGCAAGGAGAAGCGTCTCTCAGCATTTACTAGACAAAGGCTGGGTGCGTCTAATTATGATTATTAAAACAATTTCCATGACGATGTCTAATATTATGTTAATTTGAAAACAACTGTGTATGAAAACTGTCGACTATAATACCTAAATTCATTTAATGAAACACATCGTTAAGGCAATTAAACCTCCTGGATGTGATTAAGGAACATAATTACGACACTGTTCTGCGCCATAATTGGGTGTCTTTAATCAAGGGGTAAAGTGATCAGCAACACAGCCATTAGTTTGTATTGTTCTGTCTCTGCTGTCCATCATTCTGATTAGGAATTAACCACCGCCACCAGCTTGGCGTGGTGCGTGCCTCTGTGTGTGTGTGTGTGTGTGAGTGTGTGTTCGTGCATATAACATCGCAGGGCACATTTGCTGCAAGATTTACCGCTTAATATCTCTGGCGACCGAGCACAGGGCTTCCCGGAGAGGTTCCCCTGGAAGGCGTGGGCACTGCTCGGCTCTGGACACCCGTGGGGCGGGGTGGGGGGGGCGCAAGCGAGAGTCCCAGCAAACTCCTTGGCACGGCCGGGACCTGGGCCGGGGGGAAGGCAGGAGGCTCGGGGCTGGGGCGGTGTGTGTGTGGTGTCCCACGCTCTGCCTCCCGGCTCCCGTGGGCTGCGTGTGCGGGCCCGGAGGGAGCGAGGGCGGCCGCTGCCGCCCGTGGCACCGCGAGCGGTTTCCCCGTTCACCCCTCGCTTGCCTCCTCTTCGGAGCGGCGGGAAGGAGGAATGCAAACTCTTTTCTTAAATTTCATTCATTTATTTCCCACCCCCCCCCTCCCCATTCCTAGCTACCGGCTGCCTCCCCGCTCTGCGCTCCCTTTGCTTCCTCCTTGCTTGCTTCGGAGGGGGGTGGGAGAGGGGTCTCTGCCGGGTAGAGCTGCTGCCACTCGCGACCCCTCGCCCCTGTCCCTGGGCACCCAGCGGCCCCGCCGGGAAGCGACACGGAGCCGCCGGGCCGGTCCCTGGGCAGGTCTCGCCAATGCGAGCGCCGTGGGTGTCGGGGGTGGGGGGAGGAGAGAGGCTCCCCCGCCCCTCTTAACGCTTGATATATCACTTAAGCAGAAACGATACATGTCCCCCTTCAAAAGAGCTTCCTTCCCCGTTTCCAACCGCCCCACCGAAGCGGGATCTCCCCCAGGCTCCTCCGAGGGCTCCCGCTGCCCCCGCCGCCCAGCCCGGCTCCCTTCCCCCGGCCCCGTACCCCGGCTCGGAGCCTGGAATTGTCCCAGCATGAGTGACATTGGCTTTCCTAATGTAATGACTTATGAAAGATATAATCATGTGTTAAATTGAATCCTCCGCTTAACTGTTAATGGTGTGCTCTGGGCACATTTACGTATTAGATGCTATGGTAACTAATTACCACTAGAAGAAGGGATAATACACTTTCCAGACTTTGACAAATAATTATGAGTGTTCACATCCCTGCTAGCAGCAGTTGCAGCGGATCTGCTGGAATGAGTAAGTGAATAAATGAATGGGTAAGTGAACTTGTGTGCATGGAGGGGACTAGATAATGGATAGTGGTCAAGTGAGTTTTCTTATTAAAACCTTTAATGAAAATGTGATTTAGGGTGGAAGGGGAAAAAAAAGTGCGACGCTGCCTCTAAACGTAATTAAATCGCGTAATATAAACATCAGAAACATAAATAAGTTTGCTTTTAATTAAAACGCAGCAGTCAAAGTAAATTATCCACGTGCTCGGAAACTTTACAGCAATTAACGCTTTTTTTTTTTTTTTTTTTTTTTGGTGGTGGCGGTTGGGGGGATTGTTGTTGGGGGGGGGGGGGGGGGGGAGGGGGGAGCTGTGTAAAATAAATGAGCCGGGACTCCGCGACTCCCTCCAGGATCATTTGTAACTTTGATCGCACCCGCTGCCAACAGGCCGGAGGGATCCCGAGGCGTTAATCAGACGGCGGAGCAGCTCCTTGTCGGAGCGGGACAAAACTTGGGGGGAGCGGCGCTGGGCTCCGTGCCGGCCCCCCCCCCCGCCCTCCCCCGCTCCCTCCGGGGGCCGTTACCGCCCGCCGGGGCAGGACCCCCGCCTCGGGGGGGGGGTGTGTGGGGGGGGGCGGGGGGGTCTGGAGCTAGCGAAGCCCACCTGAGGCTTGGCGCTGGCTCCCTGCGAAGCGTTAGGCTCGGTTTAGGTAGGCGCCGCCGGGGTTAAGCTGCTCCTGGCCGCCGGCCCCCGGTTCCATCCCGGCCCGGGCAGGAGAGGAGCCGCCGGGAGCGGGATCCAGCGGGGCTGCCCCGGCCCCGAGCCGGGTCCCGGGGCTCCCGGCAACCGGCCGGCGGCCGCAGGGACATCTGCTAAAGGAGCAAAGAACCGCAACCAGCCCCAGTTCCCCGCGGTCACTCAGCAGCTCGGTGTCACCCAGCCTCCCCCTCCCCCAGAGCGCTCCGCAGGGGGGATTTGGCTGGTTCTCCAGCCTCGGGAAGGGTTAAATCCTTCCCCGAGCCCCTAGTTGCCCTTGTCCTCTCAACCTGATTCAGAGACGTGTAATAAAATATGAAGCAAATTTATGGTCTGTTTCGAGCACTTTACTGCTGTATTTTTAAATTCATATATGCACATACAAGAACTATGATCTGTGAATAATTTGAAATGCTATAGGAAAATGATGCATTTTAGATCAAACATAACCGTTTTCTTACATAATTGTCTCGGATTAAAATAAAAAGAAAGATACATTTCGAACAGAGACAAAGCTGAAAATCTAATGACAGCCATAAACTGCTAGACAGCCATAAATTAACGTCTTCATCAAACACTGAAGGGATCAGTGCTTATCTAAATCAACAATTATTTCTTCTGAGAAGTTGCAGAACAGATTGCCCCTCTAATACTATTTTTAAATCCTCATAATTGAGGATTAGGGGCAAACAATCGCCTTTCCGGAGCAAACCTCCTCTCCGCCAGCCGAAGCCCTCCAAACTCACCGAACACCCAGACCGGTTCCCCAGGAGGGTCCGCGGGGGGTCCCGGTCCCCTGCTCCCACCCCAGCACCCCTGGAAGAGCGGGCTGCTTTTAGGAAGGGGCGGCGGGAGTCTCTGCTCGCCTCTCTCCCCTTTTCCCCGCACCCCATCCCTTTCCGCCTGATTTTTTTTTTTTTTTTTTTTTCGAGGGGGTCGGAGGAGACGGGAGCGCAAACGGGCGCCGGGAGCCCGGCGGGGCGGGCGCGGCTGGGCCGGTCCCCCCCCCCCGCGGGACCGGGGCGCACCGGGGCGGTATCCCCCAGCCCAACCGTGTGTGTGTCCCCCCCCCGCCCCCCCCCCCCTCCGCCGCGCCTCCATCAGTCCCGAGCCCAACTAACGCCCATCCACTTTTCAGGTTCCGAGCTTTAGCGAGGCGGCAGCTCTCTCCACTGCAGCTCTACCTGCCACGCCGGGCTGGCGAGAGGCTGCTGTAAAGATCGCGTTTTTAGCAGGCAACTGGCAAATGCGTGGAGAAGATAGCCGAATCACTGGGTCACGAGATGGAAATGAGACAGGGAGAGACTTGGTGCCTGTAGGAGGTTAGCGACTGAACTATTTGGAAGAAAGAGGCAGCTGGAAAGATGAGCTGGTAGGAAAGAAGTCGCTGTCAAAAGTCATCACAGGGTGTTTGCTTACTGTGTTTCACTCTCCCTGTAGCCAGAACCTAGACTTTTCTTCAACTTTGCTCTACACATAGCTGCTGTTTGGGGAAAAAAAAAAAACCCAAACAAACCAACACATCAGTGTCAAAATCGGTTTAACAAAATCTTGCAAGACAGAATCCTGCAAGGCTCCTAGCAGGAACAGCTGAAGCTTAGGCTTCTTTTGATTGTTTATTTTGGTGTAAATAGTTTTGAAGACAAGCACATTTCTGCTATTACAAATGATGTATTTACGCAACCTCGGTACCTGAGATCCTAGGCAAGCCTGATGCATGGGATAGGCGATGCAGACACCGTACTGGTTTGTATGAGGATGAAGATCCCACTACAGTTCAATTCTTTGCTTTCACAAGAAAATGGAACATTTACCAAATTTTCGATGCTTCTATATACGCAGCATCCATTTCTTCATACTTATTACTATTTATAAACATAGACAATAACTTAAGGCTCACGATACTTTCCTCAGTGTAGTTTTAAGGGCTGTTTTTGTAATGAGGTAATTTTTCTGAAATGTTGTGGGTATCAAGACATGACTAGCCAGGGTACAGAGGCTGGTTTAGGTAACAGGCAGGAAAAGACTTCACTTTCTGTGAAGCACTGTCCAACAGTTAAAATAGCTCTATTCATGTGAACTAAGCATATGTCATGCACAGATTGATGGCTCAAATAATTTTAAAATACAGTGCACTGTAAGTAACAACAAAAAAACATCTAGTGTCAAACCAAGTATTAGATATAATACAGTGTTAGGAGGTCTTATTAATTCTCCTCCTCCCCACCACCCCTCAAGCTATCTTTCAGACCGTCATAGAAAGCTCAATCTGAAATGTGCCCTTCAAGAAATCTCAAACAATGCCACTTTTTATTTACAAACTTCAGTAACTTCTAATATAATCTGGAGTAAAAGCAACTGTACGGTTACAAACACATTTATTAAACGCAGGAAAATGCTGCAGGTCTATCTTCTCTAGGACGTATCTTCAACAACCCTCACAGACATACCTGACAAGCATTTCTGCATGAAGAAATGAAGAACACTGATATCTTTAGAGTGCAGCCTTCATATTAAATGCCTACTTGTAGGACTCAGTAGCTACAGTGATACCTAAAAAAGCCAAACTGTGCTTGGCTGGTGCAGTGCTGTATATTGTAACAGTTTTCAGTCATTTCGCCTTTTAAAATGAATGATCTGTGAGGACAGAATATCTTACGCTGGGTAGTGCATCTTGTACTACGCAGAGGTTTGCAAAAGGAAAAGCTTAGGAGCTGTATTTGGGTATCATTAGTGGATTGTAGATCTTTTTACTAATTTTGAATAATGTCCTGAGAATGTCAGAAGTACCTTTTTTTTTTTTTTTTTTTTTTTCCTTTTTCTTTCTCATTTGATAAGAACCAGCTTAAGTTTGAGGGGGGGTAAACCAGACTTGATCATTTCATAAATTCAGAGGAGTTGCTCCATGCTAGTGCTGAATTAAAGGCTTTTTTTCCTTACAGAAATATCCTTCAAGATCAAGTAACAGAAAAATGCGGTATGCTGAATAATTAATTTAAAAGATGAAAGCAATAGTTGTGAATCTGTAAGAAAAGTGAAATGTAAACTGGAAAAAAATACCATGGACAGTCATTCAATATTAAAATAGATATATTCATTTTTATTGTGTCCTTGAGATACAAAATTCACTTAAGATGTTAGATTACTAAAATAATGAAGTTTCAATTTTCTTGCTCAGAAATTCACCATATACCTTATTCAATCTTAGAGCCTTAATGATAGATATTAACTATTAAAGTAGAACCTAACTGTTGTTCAGCTATATACAAAATGTCAGTTTGCACAATTAAGAGCAATTCACAATCTTTTGAATGTCAGAAAGTTCAAAAATGATGAAATAAAAGATCATTTGTAATTCTACAAGAGAAATTCACAGGCCAGTAATTATCCATGGAAATAGCAGCGCCAAAAGTAGTGACACGCAACTGGCTTAAAAGCATAAACTAAAGAACAACTCCTACACGGTTTTATATTAGCACATTAGGACATATTGGCAGAGATGTGAAAGTCTGATTTGCAAACAGGTACACATAGACTAGCACAGTCTTTTAAGCAGCGTGACGGTCTCAGAAGTTTACAATAGCTTATAGCAGTACTGAGTGCCAGCATGAAAATGAAGAACATACAATCTGTAAATTAAAATAAGAATAATAATAAAAAATTCATTCACATTAGTTGATGATAAATTCACTTTTCTTCTTGGGTGCTATAAAAGGCCATACTGACTTAATAAACCCATTTTATATGGGGGAAAAAAAGGTGATTCTTTTTTAATAGCAGAAGACATTATCAGTGCAGCCACAGGCAGTGACGACTTACGGGCAGGGGCTGGCGCTGACCAGCCGAGGCGCGTCTCAAACCGGTCAGCGAGGGCCCCGTTTCACGAGAGGAACAGCAGAGCAACTCGAGGGGCCCCTGCGCCCTCCTCCTGGCTGACCCCCAGGCCTGCGGGCCCAGCGGCTTTGGCAAGCCGGCACCGCTGGCCTTGCCGGGCAGCCCCCCCCCCCCCCCATCGCTGAGGCGGAGAGGAGGGACAAGGAAGCACTGAGGTCTGGCTGCCTCCCGCCACCCACCCCTGCAGCACCACCGGCCCCTGAACGCCTGCGAGCAGCGCTGCCCCTTTCTGCTTGGACGGTTTTGCCACCTTCGTGCCCCGGTGACAGGTGCCGAGAGCCGGCACGCTGCGGCCGGCCTGGCTCCAAGGTGGCACCTTCCAGGGATGGCGCGCCCTCGCCCCGCCGCGCTCCGGCACCTTCCGGACCAGGAATACCGGCGCCGTGGGCCTCTCACCCCCTGCTCCGTGGAGACCGAGCCACTCCTGGTCAGACCAGCTGCCGACTGCCAGTAAGTCGCCTCCTCGGCTGCCCAGCACACGGACCAGAAGGGCTTAACACCTCCTCTCTCCCGCTCTAGCTCTCGCGACTTTACACAGGGGTGAGGCTTACCTCCTCTGCAGCTGGGGCACGCTAAGGTAGTGATCCACCGCTTAACAGCAAAACTGATCTACCAGGAGCACGGACTACCAGGGACGCAGAGCCAGGACAGGCCGAGCGGGCCCCGCTTCTTTACGTTTGATTATTTTTGGTCCCTGAGCAAAAAGAGCAACAAACTCTTCTCCCAGCAAAACACCGGCCTCTTGGCGTGGCGCGAAGAGTGCTCTCCAACCCCAACGGAAGGCCTCCAAGTGCCTTCACGGAGGGTTCCTGCAACTCCTGTGAAAGATTCTGACCCTTTTTTTTTTTTTTTTTTTTTTTTTTTTTTTAAATGGAAGCATGCCCTATGGGTTTAGTTTGCTGTTTTGGAGACGATCTAGCTCTTCTTTTAATTTCAAAATAGATACTCTACAAACTGATCAGCAATTAATCTGAAATTACTAATGGTTTGCGTGTACTTTTGGCACAGTCCTGTTACATCCTACCAAATTATGCAGCAGCCTGTGATATTCTAATTCAAAATCCTAAAAATAGAATGCAATTGTAAAGTCTTCTGTTTAAAACAAATACCTACTGTTATTTTCACAGTTGCTTCAGGTTTGTTTCGAAGTCGGATGCCAAAGAAAGATTTATCATAACTGTGGCATGAGACATTTTACAGCTTACATTTAAGCAATAATGGAATACAGTCAACAGTGTAATGATATCAACATTTCCTCTCTGAATAAACCAGGCTCTAATGTCCAAACTGGATTGTGAGCTATGGCTGAGTACAGAATAGCTCCTACAGAGTAACTACAGCAGTAACTTGAGTGCAAGAATCTCTCCATAAAAACAAATTTTATTCTGTGGCACAAAGCAATAATCAGCTTTTGCTGTTGATTAAATGTTGAAGAAAAGTTAAAGCATTTAATCAACTGCAAAGCCCATTTAATGTAAGTGTACTCCAACACTGTACACATTATTGATATTATATATGAAGAGAAAACGTTCATCCAATATATCTCACAAAACCACAATTTTCTCCTCAGAGGATTTGGAATGTGACTGTGCCAATCTCTGAGAGCCTCTCTACTGACGCTGATGCATGTTTAGGGTGTATGCTTTACATGAATAACTAAACAGGCTTCTACACAAATAACAATAAATAATTCTAACCCTTACTATGTATGTAGCAGTTTCCATCCATAAGCCATCAAGTACTCATCAGAGATGAGTAAACTTCCTGATTTTAAAAGATGGTGGCACATCCCAAAGAGAGATAATTTTGGAGAATACAAGGCAAGGCACATAGACATGGCTCCTCTCCCAATGCAATTATCATCTTGGCAAATTGAGACTGGACAGCCACAAAAATCCTGATCAGTCTCTGAAGTGATGGCTGGGTAGAGACACAGAGAGTCTAAAAATCCCAGATCCCGCACACTAGGAAATTCATTTTTGAAACAAGAATTGGTCACCCAGTGAAGCAGGTTGGGCAGCCCACGTACGGATAAATTCTGTGGCTGTCCAGTTTTCACTTGCTCAAGTTTTGTTTCCAGGGGAGAGCCTGCTTTCCAATTTGCAGATGGACAAGTCTGTTTCCAAACGCAGGTCACATTACTCTGCCTATGCATAACTTAGGCACAGTAAAACACTATTAAAAAGTAGTTTTAGATACCATGCTTGCCCTTGAAGCCGCCTTCTTCTTTTGCCTTTTTGGAGAACAAACACCAGAAATGGTCAAAATAAGCACATGGATGTGAGACAAACAGAAGGTAATTTCTGAGATGATAGAATAATTTCAAACAGGCTTATGTATTTTCTCCCTGAAGAATACACTTTTTTTTGTCTCAAAAGCCAAAGTAGGTAATTTAGGCTTGATCCAGAGCCTGCTAGAATCCACAGAACCTCCCTTCTGATTTTAAATGACTGCAGGAAAAAAAAGTCAAAGGTTGTAATTTCTTTGCACTGCACCAAAAAAAAAAAAAAAAAAAAAAAAAAAAAGCAAAGCATTCACCCTCAGTACGTAAAACTGAAGTCAGAAATGTGTTGCCAGTAAGACATTCTCGCAAATCATCCCCCACCACCCCACACAGCTTCCATCACATCTCCCAAACAAGGGCTAAGACACTCAAGACCACGAAGGGAACAGAGTAAAGCAAAAGTTAGAATAATAATCACTAAAAATTCTTTCACCCCCTAGAATGAAGTTCCACCTTTCCTGCTATTATGCTTCTATGAGCAGCTGCAGAGATGCCTGCGGATGGTGGGTGTATGGGGACCTCCCAATCTAACAAGGGGGAACCCCTGTGACAGGGCTGCTAAGACCATTTCCCATATAAATGGCCTGGATTCAGCTTGATGTCATCCTCCTAGTAAATCCTACTCAAGTCATAGCCAAGAGTAGGGGGGCCCGCCTCGTAGGGACGTTGGGCTATTCACTTGACCAAACTCTTGCCATCTCACCTCGTTACTCATAACTCAGGCAAGACAAACTGAGGTTGCATGTCCCTACATCTGATATCTACCTTCAGCCCGAGAGCTTTTCTCCTTAGAAATAAATAGAAAGGAGGTAAAAGCAGAGAGGAAAAAGCAAATGTTTCAAAAAATACAAAGCTGAGTGATGAAACAGAGCAAACGTGAAGATTAGTAGAAGGCATATAGGCAGCCGCTCACTTTCTTAAGGACCTTAGCTTGTAACGAAAGGCAATATCAACGTCTGGCAGGAGTATACCAAGGCCCATACGACTGTTATCAAGTCTGACAGCTTTGTTTTCCACTAGTTCTACATCAAAATGAGCCAATAGTAAGAAAAGAAACATCTTCATCTCATTCATTGCGAGGAACCTCCCTGGACACATGCTGATCCCAGAGCCAAAAGGCATTAGGAAATACTTCAGTTTTCTTCCTGCCTTGTAGAACGTGGTTTTCTTCTTGCCATTCTCTATGTATCGATCAAACTTATACTCCTGAAAACAGAGAGAGAGAGAGAGAGAGCGTGTTATCTAACAAGGCAGTTACGTGAGTTGCTTTGTTTGCACAACAGTAACGCTTCTGAAACCCAGAAAATAAGATAAAGAAGAAGACAAGGAGCTGACAGCTTCTCCTTTTTAGTTGCTTCCCTCAAGTTTCGTTAACTCACATTATCTTCCCTGCAAGAACACTTCTTAAATCCACTTACTTACCTTAGCCCTTTTACATCAAGCTCCTTCAACTTCCACGTCTCATCCATTGAGTGTCTGGCCTATATTGATTGTAATTACATTTTGACTGCTTTGTAGCAGGGACAATGAACCTTAGTGGAAGGACAATTTTCTTGTAAAGCATCATATGCGCTCAGTGTGGTACATACATCATGAATAAGGATAATCTGCCAAATTCTGCAAATGCCTATGAATAAATTAATGCATTGCACTGATTTTACTCTTGCAAGCTAGAGCAAAATCCATCCTTCTTTTGCACCCAGTGGTGCAGATTATTCAAAAACCAGACCCGATGCGTTGCAGTCAATTTTCCCTTCATTTGGAGATGGTTGCGGCTTAATTTGCCACATGTGACCTTCAAATGTTTTTGCTCCAGAAGCTCTGTGCAAAGCAGGACAACCGCCAGTGATTGACCATTATAAAGAGGGTGCTTTCAAGTAAGGCTTGAGGTTGCGCTTGTAACCTATGTTCCATAAATTGAACATCTTTCTGACTGTCTTCCAGTAGCAGGATCCCTGTTTAGAGATAATTCATGTTTTTGAATGAAGGAGATCTGGCATCCTCACTCAGTCAACGGCAAATTAACCACTTACAAAATCCTCCTGCATGCTTTGAATAAAAATGACAGACACTTCTTGCTTATGGTCACTCATTAGCATTTGTCCTGCTTTGCATACATCTGCTATAGCAGCAGCCATTTGGAGCTGGCTGGGAACAAGTCAGTCAGACAGAAACCAACCTCAACTGATTAAAAAAACCCCACGCCACAATGAAAAACACACTGATACTGATCTACCCATTAGATTAAAGGCTCTGAAAACCATGCACTGCAGGTCTTGCTGTCAAGAAAAAACAGTGGCAGGGGAGGTGGTCTATGAGAAAGGAAACAAGTACAGGGTGCACTGGAGGGGATGTAACTTTGGGTGTAGAAGAACAGGAGGTTGTTTCTCTAGATGGCAGAGGCCTGGATTTTCCACAAAGATAAGGTGATCATACGCGTGTTTCCGCTGACAAGTAATTCTTTTCAGTCTCTTTGAACACCCCAGCCAAAAGGAAGCATGCCATTTTTTTTTTTTTCGTGGGAAGTTATTGCTTCATTTGAAGAAGCACAGTAACAAATCAAAGCTCAGAACACCCCCCCTCTTCCTTAAAAAAGATTCACTTCCTGAAATGTAAATCCTGCTGGTCTAACAAAGCGCTGCTAAATATGAACTGCAAGGGCTTAAAAAACCAACCCAACCCAACCCAGAGCTCTTCACTGTGTTGGAACATTTCCACAAGGTGCACTCCTGGCATCTGGAGCAATTAAGAACTGTGGTATTGAACACACAGACATACTGGGTCAAACCTTATGCTTTCTTTGTCTTCTTAAGAGCCATCGGAGAGTTGTAATTGCTTTTAACAAAAAATAAATTGGTGTCCAAGGAACTGGGAAAGGAGAAAACAAGTGTGAGACAGGAATGGAGCCAATGACAGTGACATCAAACTCAGGCTTGTGCTGCTGAAGCCCCTCGAGTTGGATAGCATTTCCTTAAAAGCTAGTTTGCTGGCTAAATAAAGACTAGGTTTTGACACTATAGGAACTTTCAGCCATGCACAAGGTCTCCTTGGAAGAGACAGGGTGATTGATGGCAAGGAAAAGGTGAAGGTCCTGAGCAAGAACGGGCAATAAAGTTCTGTGTGGACGGCCTGCTAAGAATATTATGAAAATTGAGCAATCTCCTGCGATTGACACAAGTGTCTCTCTGTCACATCTCATATTTAGCTTTGTTTGGGAAGCCACCATGTAGGGTTTCCTGCAGGGTTTCCTGATATTTCCCTCTATGGGATTTGCAGAGTTCATTTACTGACCTCTGTAACTAGCTGAGTTAGGGTTTAGGGGTTCACTTATCCACTTTATAGAAAACGGATTCATTTATTTAGGTTTTGATGAGTGGAGAAAGAGGTCAACAATATATGCTCACACTTACACAATATGGTGCCAAAGCAGAAGATAGCTTGAACTTAAATTTATGTATCCAGGAGAAAAGCATTGCTACAAAATTATCTCGTCAAGCTGCCTGTTTTCCCAGGAAAGTTTTCCCTAAATACATGACAAGCTCAAGACTGCACCTTTCAAAAAATTCATTCTCCATCTCTATCTGATCCTCAGTAGTTATTGTTGAAAGCACACTGCATATTTTAAGAACCAAACAGAACAGTGATTTCCCCACTTTTCGAGAGGGCCCATGTGCTGAAATCAATGTACTGCAATGTGTGGATTGCTCATTCACTATCAGAAAGATAAAATATATGAACTAAAGCTGTACTGTGAAAGCTGAGCCGAGCTGATACTAAGCAGATATATTCAAGCAATGGAAATATGGTAATATATTCCGACAATTATTGGATAAGGGAGGGGATCAGTTTCCACACTGATGCTTTTGGTCTAGGACCTAAACAAACAGATGGACTTTTGACAAATCAATAATGTTCTCCAAAATAAAGTGTTAAGAATAAAATGAGAAAAAGCTTATTTGTTAGTTGTTACTTTTTAAGGATAGAAATATTAATCAACTATTTGCCAACATATGGATTATTTTTTAAAACCCTAATTTTCTCAGCGGGCTTTGTCTTCATTTTTGGGTGGGGACAGCCAGCAGAGCCCCCCTGGACATCATTTCCATTTTCATGGCTCCGGTGTTCATCCCGGTGACTACACCTTATTCCTGCTAACTCTGACAAGCTCCACATCTCCTCTCACTGAGGCTGGTGGAGCTCCTGCACAGCGACACGCTGTCCTGCGCCAACAAGGCACTTGAATCTCATCTTTCCTCTGCAACCTCATATCCTTAAATTCTTGAAAGGGAGAGCCCCAGGGAGCAATGCCTCTAACATGGGTTTTCTGTAAAGGTATAAAAAAATCCAGTTCCCTTCTTCTTTGGCTCAAATGCCAAGGATGGAAACCAGCATGGCTAGGAGACAGTCACCTGCTTAGGAAAATGGGGATGAGGAATGGATCAGGTGTGAGCTCTTGCCTCTCGGGCAGAGGAGGCATTTATCAGCCTCAGCGTGCACCCTTGCTCTTCCTCCGTGGCACCCTGGGCTGGGAACAGCAACCCAGGGGAGCAACCTAGCTGAGATGAGGACTATTCAATTTGCATGCAGGTGGTGAACTTCTGAAGTCGTATTAAGGCTGAGGCAGGGTGGATTAATTTCGAGTCTTTGATATTCATTAGCTCCAGCGTCAGGGAAAAATACAAGGAGATGACACAATTACCCTCCGAGCTTCACTGCAGAGCAACAGCTTTACAGTCTCAAGTTCACAACACTCCACTAATTGATCAAGAAGGGGTGAATCCCTACAAAGGGAGGTGAAAAAGCATAAGGCTCAAGTAAGACACTGCTATTATAGGGCTTCAGAGAGTCAATGATGCTTTGGGGGCACTTAGCTAAATGGCCCACATTATTTGCTATTTAAACCACCTTCTATTATTCAGCCTTCCTTGGGTATCAAATGATCCACTGCCAAACAAAACCCACATTTAGCCTAAAGTTTATGGTAGTCAATGTGCAATTGTCAATTCCTTTGAAAACAGTCCGCAGTCAGTCTCATCACCATATTTCTCTCTTCAGGCCATGAATCCTTTGACCTATAGAGCCCTAGAAAATACATCTGAAAGTAGGAAGATTTGTTCCACAAGAAGGAACAGCGGAGGGGAAAAAAAAAAAAAAAAACAACCCCATAGATCGCAGAAGGCTTGGCTGCTGCGATGTGCCTGGAGTAGCAAGAGGAGCACCAGCTGAATGTTTACCTTAGGATCTTCATAGACCTCAGGGTCCATGTGCAAAATCTGCGGGTAAAGGGCTATCCAGTCTCCTTTCCTCAAACCGACTTCTTGATTCCCTTCAAGCTTGAGAACAAAATCCTCCTGGCTGATGCGAATGTTCATGGAGGACGAGCACATCCGTAAACTCTCGTTTAAGGCACTCTCTGCGATTAAACAAAAGCGGAGGCGGGGAAGCATCAGAAATATGGGAGATGACTGGAAGTTATGCATGGCTACAGCTGCTGAATCTCGACAGGTTTAGTAGGGCAGGCTAAAGTTAAAAAAAAAAAAAAAAAAAAAAAGACAAAAAAACCCCACAAACCAAACCAAACACGAAGCAGAGACCAGGAGGAGGCAATAAACAACCCCGCGGGGCGGAGAGGGGAGCTGTGATGCTGAACCTCCCGATGTGATTCTCACTGATGGTGCTGAGAAATCCTGTCGGCTGTAGGCAGCACTGGGTTTTGGGTGGAAATTACATGAATGCTTTACGCATTTACATATATTTTGGAGGTTGCAAGCAAATACCAGTGAAAGCATCCATGGAGCTGTTTAGCTTGCCTTTCGAAAGCTGTTGGATGTAATGGCAGGACTATATGTTAGAAAAATAATTTCACTTTTTAATTCCGTAGTCCTTCTGAGGATTTTAAAATTTATTGTCTTTTCAGTGCGTTATACTGTCAAACGATAGTGCCTGTTATGGTCAGAGTGAATTAAAGCAATTCATTATTTGCCTGGTAATTTTAAGAGAGAAAGACACTTTTAATTGGCCAAGAGAAAGCAAAACATAGTCCTTTCAGGCTTAGGGAAAGAAAGATTTCTGTCTCCACCATCGCATCCTGGAAGGCTCCAGAAGCTGAATGTCCTTGCTTTCCCAGTGGCCTTCACCTTTTGCTCCTAGCACGACAGATTTTATGGCTAATTTCCGGCAATTTATCCTGGCAGTTTGAGGAGGAATTCCTTTGGGAATAATATGCATAATTTGCATAAATCATTCTGATAGCATGTATATCAGCATGTAGCTCCTGTCTAGGGCTGCATCTCTCGCTTTGTAATCAAAACTGACTATTTTTCCACCAGCGGTGTATGGGCGCTGTTATATGTGACTTGATTCCTTCTAATCATCAGTGTGAAAAATAGCCTAAAATAGGGTTTCATTTGCACATAATAATCCATTTGTGCCTGCATTTATGTTCTGTGATATCAAATAAGCCTTCGCTAAGTGTTCACCAAGGCACTGTAACTGCTGCACCCAAAAGGTTAGTTTATTAGATACAGTAGCTACCCAGTGTAGTTGCCTCTGAACAAAAATAATAACAAACGTTCTTTCACTAAAAATTAAATCTGGCGCAGCATGCATAGCAAATAAAGTGGCCCTGGATGCTTTCTTGCAGGAGGTTTTTCCTTAAGCATGCATTTGTCTAAAGAAATGAGGCTGCGGTCAGCTTTGTGTGGCCAGCGCCGTGATTCAATGTGACGTACAGTGAGCCTGTGCATATTCTTTTGGACTGCCTTCGTTACTATAATCAGGCAGAGTCAAATCGGCTTGTTGGTGACGAAGCCAGAAAAGAATCCTGGTTCCAGAAGATGGCCTCTACTGCGGATAGCCACAAGGCACCTGACACGATAGATTTCAACTGGCAGTGCTCTGGCAACAAAACTTTGCGCGGTACAAAGAAAGGGTCCAGCCTCCGCTCCCAGACCGTCTTCACCCTGCAGAAAATGAAGCTGGTAACTCCGCGCTGGTCCACCATTCGCAAAGGGTGGTGACATACGTAGCGACAGCAGAAATCAAATGAAGAAGAGGGAAGGAGGGGGAAAGAAGAAAAGAGAAATAATTATTAAAGCGCCCCTGCGAAGCAGCAGGTTTACATTTAACCGCCCGAGCGATGCGGTCACATCCTACCGGTGGACATCCTCCCAGAAAGCGCGGCTGTCCCTGCCCGCTGCCGGATCCCAAATGACAATTGGGCAGCATATCTTATGCAGAAGTTAATCACAATAATGGAGCACAAAGTGTGGCTTAGCGGTCAGATCGTAAATGACAAATCTGTTTTACCTTCCAGTACCAGTTATGTGCGGAAGGCGAGCTTGGCTCTCGCTCTGAGCGATCATGCCGATAATCATTAGATGACAAAAGTAATGAGTCACATTATGATCAACAAAGGAGAATGGAGCTTATATGGCTTTGCAGCCTCACATTAAAAAAATAGACAGTCAGCTTTCCCCAAATGCTGGAGTTATACATTGAGAGGCATGACAACTGCACAATAAAACTGCAGCCTTTACTTGCAGTTGTCATAGTTCAGCAGACACCAGCCATCGCCGCTGACAGACCAGCTGGGTAGCTTGGGAGGCCTTCCATTCTGCACCGTGAGGTACAGTAAATTATCCAGCACGGTAGAGCAACATCTGTTTCTGTGCTTGTGCCGAACAAACAAGGCAATTTAAAGCATACCAAGGGATAACCAAGCAGCAAATGAACATGACCCTCATTTTTTTCCCCCCTTCTTACACACATGAGATGCTAAACTTCACTGTGCGAGTGCTACATGAAGAAGCCAGGCTGTTGTTTGATAAGGTGTTGTCAGAGAGATTTTGCATATTTTCCACGGGGGGGGGGGGGGGAAGAGAGAGAGATCTATATCTCTCTCATAGTATTGTTATTCTTAGAATCCTCCCACTTCTCTCTTCGTTTCTCTTATACTAAAGCTAGCACTCAGCTTCCAATTCATTCTAGATTTTTTTTTTTTTTAAAAACTGTTTCAATATACTTATAAATATTCAGTCTTTAAACCCTAATTTGCTATACTTAGTTCACATGCCTTCAAGCATTTGTCTTCCAATTTCCACTGAATAAATGCGTACTAATGAGAAATAGAGCAAGCTGCTGAGGCAAAGCTGGGTGACTTGAGCCTGGCCTGCCACCAGCTTGTGATAGGCAGGCAAATTGAGTTAAAATGAAAAGTCTTGTCAGCTGAAATACAACATGGTAGCCAAACAGCAAGCTGTCAATCATCCAGCCAAAACAAGGGACTGCAGGTAATAAAAGGTCATTGCGAATCGTAAGTGCATTTGGCTTTCGTAGGCAAGTTAATTTTAATTAAACATGATCTCTATCTGTAAATGTTTTATAAAACTTATTGTGCATAATGGATTGTTAATTTTACACTAACACATAGCAGGTAATAGGGTACTATAATTATTAGATTGTATCATAGGAAAATAGCTATTGAGTATGCAAATATTTTGGGGGGGGTCATCTACCCACAGGCATCACGGTGTGCCAACACAAACGATAATCTGAAACAAGTACATTTGCATCTTGCTAAGAACTAAATGGTACTGCCCAGCCCATTCCAGGAAAATGTATTAATTTCTCTCAATCCAACCAATGATTTTGATGTTTAGCATTTGTGTTATGACTACGTACTCTGTATTAGCTGTTTTTGGGTTCCTACCCTTTCTCCTGTAAGAAACAATTTTTCAAGCTGTGCTCTTTTCGCAGGAAATATCTGGGATTCAGCAATGACCTGGGGCACGAATACTTCACCAGATAAATGAATGGACTAATATTAAGCAAATGAACTGACTAAACATGCCTAGCATTAAACATGCACCAAGTATATCTCTGCCTTACCCTTTGCATTTCTATTATAACCATAAAAACTGACAGACCATTCTCACGTGTCGTTTACCATATTAGAGCTCTGCTGTAAGCCATAACGACTACTAATGTATGTTACTCTGCACACACAAATATGCACGTTTGGGTTTTGGGGAAAAGTCTTACCTAGACAAGACAAAGTATGCTGCCCCAGAAATGTCATCAGAAAAAAATAATCGGGGCCAAAATTTGCTAGTTTTGCCGTGGGTTAAAAGCTTTTTTTTTTTTTAAATTCACATACCGGTGCTTTGAATTTCGAAGCAAATCAGGCCATGCTGTTCCATTGACCCACAGAATCTGACCATAATAACAATGTTGCTTCCTGAGAAAGGCTTTTTAGCAATTCTTTCTTGTTCTCCATAGCATGAGGAATCCAAAAAAAAGGCTCTTGCTATAGTAGGCCAAAATGAGGACGGAGAATCAGAGCGCTTAAAACAGGAGAATGAGATGACAAGGTGATGAACGTACACGAATACCACCTGGTCTGCCTTACTCGAGAGCAGGGACACAAATCCTGGTTTCCTACACTCGGGGTTGGCACGGAGGGGAGCGGGAAGAGAGAAAGCTCAGTCCTGGAGGCTGGGGTCAGCGAGCTGCAAGGGCAAAGGCAGTGCTGGCCCACAGCCTTCCTGTGACGTGGGGATTTTTGGCGTGGAAGCAATGCAAATTGGGACCTTTGCCCCTCCTACACATTTATTAACAAAACATCCCTTTCCCCTTCCCACTGAAGCATGACTTTAATTCTCTTATGGTACGGATTTTTTTTTCTATATTATTATTTTATGGGACAGTATCCAGCCCTTTATGACTTAAGTGCCAGAACAATTGAAGTCTAGCTTCTGTTCATATCACATTACATTTAACGTGATTATAAAATTTAACAAAAGTGTTACAAGAATACTACAAAGTAGGATGTGACACTTTCCTCTCAACACATAAATCAAATGTTACCAAGGTACTTCAAAATTTCAAGGAGCAGCAGAGGAATGACACAGTTAATGTTTTAAACTGTTCATACCATTTTGCACCAGATGGTTTTAGTGAAGTACATGCTTTTATTTTCCGTATTCCTACAATTTTGGGGTGCCATTTTTTTTTTCTTTTTTCCCTTGCCATCCCCATCTCAGTCTCCGAATACAAAATAAATTCTCTCTTGATCTTCCTGATGCTCTGTAACTTTCCTTTTCTCATATTTTTTGGTGAATGCCAGCTCTGATGTGAAGCAGTTTTACTTGTGTTCCTTAAAAGTACTTTAAATGCTTAGAATGTCATGTTTATTCTTCAGAAGTGGCCCTGTCATCCAACATCTCCCCTACTTCAAAAGCATTCTCCATCGGTTAGAGATAAATTTGCACCAAAACAGCCATGACTCCAGATGAAACCAACTTACTAGACTCACACTATATGACTAACATTAATGCTCTAACAAAAAGTAGCTGGATCAAACTCAATTTTATATCTATACTATGAGAAGAAAATCAAGTTCAAACACAGATCCGTGAGATATGCCACACGGATTGCTCCCGGAGAACAGATTACTTAGATCCAAACCAGGCACAGAAACTACACTGCTCCACCAGCCTACTCACATAGCTTCATTTACGAGTGGAACATCAGTTTAGGCCATGAGCTACCAAGACATATAGACATATGCTACCAAAACATAAAGACATGAGCTTGGTTTTAACAGGGGACTGTTTTGGATATTTAAAAAGAGAGGAGTATTGAACCTTTAAGCTTTTATTCAGCTGTTGTATACCCTACTAACACTACCTATGGAGACTCTCAGGTGTTAAAAGGTTAGGCTGCTACCTGCTACACCCTCTCTCCTCCCTTGGGCTAATTTTAGCATTTCTCTTGCCAGTGCCTGCGCACTAGCAAATGAAGTGAAACCATCAGTTGATGCTCTGAAGGCCTTTCTAGCTCCTGGATCAAAAAACTTGCAATGGCTACTGGCAAGGGTCTCCCTCTGAACCCCTGAGCCAGACTGGAAGATCTGTATCTCCCTTAAAGCTGCCTAGTTTGAATCAAAGTACTTTTTTCAATATTGAAAACACCATTTCTACTCTGCAATGCTCTACCTTCTTCTATTTCATTTGGAGGCATCGCTCAACTAAGGCCCGCTTTAGAAGTCTTTTTGTTTTGTTATAGGGAGAGAAAGAAAGAAAGTGCTTGTGAAAAAATTACATTTGCAGTTTAAATACATTATCTCTCTTTAATATCTGAAAAGGGTCTTTCTTGGCAGTACCATACAGAAGTATTTGAAATGCATTAACACTTCGGCAGATGCTCAGAATCAAACAACTTAATAGGCATCAACTTTTTTTCAAATAATTGCAAAGCTTCGATTTAGCCTTTTGCATACCTTGCATAGTTAATTACCTAGGCTTTAATGTTTACATGCAATGAGAGTATCTACAGCTATAAACTACATAATTTATAATTGATGTAAATGGGTGTTATTATGTCAATTAGGCAGCTGTGTCCTCCACCTTCTCAGTAAACAGAAATGAGTGATAAACCGAGTTTGCCGGGGGAGCCCCTCTTTTCTTCCTAACAGATAAAAATAAATTACCTAGGTAGACCAGGTTGTCCAATTGTTCTCTGGTGAGGTGGATGTTATACGTGGGCCCTCTCTTTTGACCTGTTGACTGCAGCAAATGGTCAATCTCGTCACGCACCGCTGCAAGAGCTTCTGGGTGCCGCAGAAGATAATACATGGCCCAGAATGTAGCTGGAATCGTGTTTCCCACAGAGGCCCACAGGAAGGCAAAATGATGTGCTGGGAGAAAATAAGTGAAAAGGAAGATTAATAGCGTTTATTACACTGATTAGATTTGCAGTGTGCTAATTAAAAGATGTTAGGACACAGACCCAGCCAAGGATCAGTGAATGCTAATGAGGACCAATAGGCTTCTGAAGTCTAATTTTCTGCTTAATGAGAATAGTTTGAAATGTAATGTCGGGGGGGGGGGGGAATAAGGGGAGGAAATGCAGCTCAGTTATAATCTTTCTCATTATCACCATTAAGTATCTTGTTTTACCACCTCAGCACAAAAAAAAAATCAATTATCATAGAGGGTTGTTTCAGAGTAAAACATTTTATCATTAGCCAATTAGAAAGAACATAAAAAAATTTCAAGGTCGCCATTTTGCCTTTTTATTTCAAAGGTCTATAGTAAATTATTTTATTTTAGACAAGCAATCATTCATAAGTTTCCTACCTGCTTTGTCATAATCTCCAAGCAGCTCATATTTCTCAAATATATCTTGTCTGGCTTGGACCACTTTTGACCCTCCCAGCCATTTTGTCATGTTCTGAAGTAAAAAATGATGTATAAGCTCCTTCCGAACCTTCTTGGTAGCTCCTAGCAACTCAATTGGTATGTTTGCAGCTAAATAGGGAAAGCTGGCATCAAACTTGATAAATTTGTCTCTGATTTCACTAATAACTTTGTGGCCATCTGCAGCAGGAACTCTTCCATATAGTGTTACAAAACTGGCTTCAAACATTACAGAGCAGCAGAATTTGTACATTTTTTCTGTTTCCCAATCTGTTGCTTGTGAGCATTTCCATTCAAATATATCCTGGAGATTTTTCATCATGTGGTCAGAAATGATATCCAAAGGCTTGCCTTGTAAATACTGGTAGATTCTATGCAGGTTTTCCTTGAGATCAGGGAATTTTCCTTTTGACAAGGCTGGGTAGTCAAAAGTTTTGGAAGCCATTTTATCAGCGAATTCGTGAAATTCAAGTTGCTTGCTATTTCGGATGACATAGACATATTGAAATGGGTCCATGATAAAGGTAATATATCTACCTGAATAGAAGAAAAGGAAAAAATAGAGATGTGCACTTTAATAATCTGGTGACACTTTCAGAAGTATTAAGTGAAAATAAGCCAATGCCTGGGAAAAAAAAGCACACAGAAAATCCTCAAAGCAAAGATCTGTGAAGAAATCTGCAAAGCAAAAAAAGAAGAAAAAAAAAAAAAAAAGGAAAATGTAACAAGTTTTATTTAGATTCTCTTTGTCAGGATGCAGATTCCACCTGCGTACACTTTTATGGCTTTTCTACAATCAGCGTGAAGCCATTTCCATGTAGAGTGATCTACTGGTTTTGCCAATGGTAGAGCGTGATCTCTGCAACTGTGGCCCTCTGAAATAAATCATTTACTACTCTGGTATAATTCATGGAAATAGTGTGGAGTCAGAGCAGCATTTGAAAAGTGGAGGTTTTAACCAGCAGAAAGGGAGAAATGCACACATTTCACCTGCATGGAGGAAAGTGAATGATGGGGGCTGGAGTGGAAAACATGCCACCGAGGCAGCTTTTCTTCAAGCAGGCAACACAGACTCAAAATCTGCTGGTTAGGGCTTTAACTGCAAATCCCCAACATTGAAACCCCTCGCACATCTGTTTTTTCCTGAAGTTCTGGTAACTTTTTTTGTTAAAAATGTGCTTAGTATCCGTAAAATGACTACCTTAAGATTTGATTTTGAGGCCATAGGTTACAATGGAGTAAGATACCGTTTTTAAGGTGGGTGCCATTTGGGGATATACACTGTCCCAGCGCTACCATGCACTGTCCCAGAGCGCACTGCCAACTCCTTACCCTTCCCAAGGTACTTAATGCAGTGACACAGCGATACCTTCAGCTGCCTGTACGGAGGAGCAGGACTGCATCAAGTCCGACGCTTTTTCAAGTTGTCCATGCCAGAAAAACCCTGCAATTTCTCCCTAAGCTTTAAGTCAACTACCAAAGAAGAGCATTTTGGTGAACTATCATGAATCAAAATGCTAACGCTCCCAAAGCTCAATTAAGTCTTAACTCTTTATAGACGATTCCCATGTTAAGTCTTAATTTAGAGTTCCTGATTCTTAACTTGAACGGAGAGGTGCATTAGGGAAAAAGGATACCCATTAAAGTGTACACATCCTCTGTGAAATATCTTAGCTATAAACTCAGCAAAACAGCAAAGCTTCCAGCCCTTACAGTCTAATTCTGTCTCACTAAAGGGACAAATCTCCTTTGATTTTAATGGGAACGCTACATGCTTAACTGAGGACCAAATTTGGCTCTGTGACAGATGTCCTGAGATAAAGTAGTCACTACCAGTAAAAATGTCAACAAGTCTCCATGGTTACCATATAGTGGTATTTGAATTATCATAGTACTTCTATATCCTGACTTGTGTATACACACAGCTCTCTGTGGTAAAACTGGGCACACTCTGGACTTCCCCCCCCCCCCCCCCCCCCCGATTACACTGACTGCAATCCCAGCGAACCAATAAGGAAACACAAGGGGTAAACTGAGACAGAATTTGACCCCATTTTTTGTTGACAGCGTGTAAAGGTTTTTAAAGTACTTGTAGAGTTTGCTTTATGGTAACATAATCAACCACAGATGTAAATCAATTTTACATCTCGATAATCATACATATCGATTAATCTCTCTATATATATCTCTTTTATAATAACTACATCGAGAAATCAGCATGAAAAAGAGATTCTGAATTCCCAGTCCTCTCTTCTGATAATTATTTTCCTTCCCAGACCACAGAGGCTGACAGGAATTTTTAGTCTCGACTTCTGCAGGATCTTTGTTAAGAGTCCTAGAATTGCTCTCTCTTTCCATCTTTCACCCACCGTCGTGCTCTTTATTGAGGCTACCATCTTTGCGATCAAAGCTTGGAAAGAATGCCCATTGGAGCAATTTTTAATAAATAGATTTGGAGTGTTATTAACCCTAAAGATGAAAGCTGGCTTCCTAACTTTGCGTTTACAGGGTAAACAATTTAAGTTAAGATTTTTAATTAATATTAATTTAAACCATCTGTCCACCATCTGCTTATTTCTGATGCAAAATATGAGTTTCTTTGTGATCTTTAATCAGACACTTAGCAAACGCACATCAATTCTTATCATTTTTAAGCAAGAAAATTATTTTCAGCAAATGAGTTTTCAGACAAACAAACAATTTTAGCAATAATTTAAAATCAAAACTCACTGAACACTAGCACATACTTCGGAAAATAAAGGATCTCTGAGAAACAGCGTATCATAGATCCAGATTTTTATTATTCTCATCAGGTTCCTGGTAGCAAAAAGTAAGTGTGTACCAAGATATAATTCATTTTGTGGAATCAATTCAGGCTCCAGACCACATCACTGCAAGTCAACAATACATATAAACACATAAAGCAAAATACTTTTGTTACCGCATTTAGTAAAGGTCTGTATAGTCAGAAAAGTGGAACCGCTTGAAAACAAAGGCAGCTTGTTTACGTACCTCACCGAGAATCTAATTTTAGATCTTTTAATTAGAAAAAGACTAAAGTCTAGAGCTAATTAAGTGCAGTTAGTAAGTTGTTTTGAGAGTGGGTATGGGAGCCTTTAGCAATTACAGTCATACTCTCACACAGATGCACTACGCAGCTACACCAGTTACCCCAGTCTCTTCCATACAGAAACAGATTGCTAATTACAAAACCGTGCCCCAACACCTCCTCTACCCTGAACAGCAAACATCCGAAATGGAAAAAACTTTCTCACCTCAAGTTATGATTTTAAATTTTGCAAGTCCTTCATTTTGCTTTTTAAATCTTGTTGTCCCTGACAAGATCTCTTCCCACCTAATATCCCTGGTGGTGTCAGAGACGAACAGATGCAAATCCTTCCTAGAGTTTCCAGTTATTATTTGGTATTTTGAAACGCAGCTTGCCCACTCTCCTCCCATGCCGTTCCATTGCAGCTAATGCCAAGAACTATCCCTTGAAAGTAGCCTTTTCTGAAACTGTAACAAAATCTTGATGCACATGAGTTTCCATCAGAGTACTGGTAAAGGTAAATGCCACATCAGCCAGGAGTGGAGGTGTATCACATGCTCCACAAATCAGGAAGCCTTAAATACTGAAGTTATTTAGATAGAAACTGCTGGGGACCAAGCTTTTCCTTCTTAGACTGTAAAAACATCCTTCAACACAAAAAACTAAGTAGACATGTCCATACAGAAATGTCACACGCCAAATCCCAACAGTTTAAGTCACTGAGCTATTTTATTTAGTACCACAGAAGGAAGTCAAAATAAGAGATGTATCCTTGTTTCTGTAAAAAGCTCTCTTGATTTGTTTTTAAAATATGGCTACAGAGAATTCGTATTTCCCCATCGCATCCTTCAGTCTGCATTACACCCGTGCTGCAAATAGCCTGGTTATCCCCATTTAGTTTCTACAGTCTCCTAGAAATAGAAGATTGATGTGGAAAATATGAAAATTGTCAACTTTGGTAAATCCAAGCACACGAGCCAGTATTTGTATGATAGTTAAGAAATTACTCTAATAATGCATTCTGGAGCTTTTTAATGCTAATGATGAAAGACAAGCATTTCAGATGGCATCTAATGACGGATGTTATTTCTGTAATGCTTGCAGCAGACTTCAGCTTGGTAAGGAGTTAATGTAAACTACCTTTTGTCTAAGAAAGAAAAATGTGGTATGTTACTCTAGGTGCATTATGGTTTAAAAGAAAAGAATTCCTTAGCAGCAGTATTTGAGAAAGCAAGTGTGCTTAGTAAAAAAACGTAAGATTATTTTATTAAAAGTTGAGTTAGCCTCAGAGAGAGTGTTGTAAGGTTCAATATCATTCCTAATAACTTGTCAGGAAAAGGACACGAAGTTTAATCCCAAGAAACCGTGGCAAAACTGTTTCAAGCTCTTTTAAGTTCTTACCTAGCCGTCTGCCTATGCTGTTGACCCTTAACAAGCAGAGAGCTTGGCTTGGGAAGTATGATCACCTCAACACCACAGACTATCTCTCTTGCTTTCCCCTCTTTATTTTTTATTTTTTTTTTTTTTATTCCCCAAGACTATCGCATTTACGTAATCGTCCTCTTATTAGGGAGATTCTGCTGAACTGCTGACAATGATGTACAGTGGTGCTTCGCTGGCATGACGTTTGGGGAAAACGATTCTGCTGCACCACCACACAAAACCAATTAGAGAACTATTTTCTGCGACAGGTCAGGAATTTACATTGTTTCTCATAGAAAGATGTGCTTTTTAATTTCTTTATTAAGATGACATCCACGTCCCTTGAGACTTTTAGGGATGACAATCATTTGCTCATCACATGGGGAAGTACAATCAGCGAAATCGCATTATGGGGCAATGACAGAAACTCCAAGCATCATTCCGCATTTTCCAAATGAACTAGTTTGAGAACCAATAATTAGAACAATATATATTGATAGAATTTTTTGACAGGACCCTTAGACACCAACCAGGGGGGTAAAGTAATGATAGTCCATATACAGAAGGCTACGCTATATTCGCCAAACATATAAACATCATCTTTGTCAAATCAGTAAGACACACAGAAATCCTGTATGTCTTCGGGTCAGGACATGATAGGAGGCACTAACTAGCTTCGGCTTCTTCCTTGACTTGTGGATGACAAGCCGCTTCTCCTTAGTGAAGTCTTGATGGTCAGTATTTTAATACCAAAAAAAGGGAACTTGAAGTGGTATCTCTGTCATGACAAATTCGAAAGATTTCCCTGCATAAAGATGAAATCATATCCAGAACTCACACTATTTGCCTCGGTCTTTATCAAGGAAGGCTTCCTCAAAATACCCGACAGGGAGATTAGTTGAAATGGAGTTTTGTTTAGCATGCAAAGGGAAATTTGTGAAAATAAATTACACCCATAGATTGCTTAAACACACAAATCTCTACACAGTGTCTTGCATAAAATAATACAGAGGTAAAGGCGAAATAAATATTTGATTAAACACATTAAGGAGTCTGAAGTATGACTGTATCTGGTTTTATTAATGTACTAAGGTAGTCTCTGAATTATAATTATTAATCTGTATTTGTAAGAAAACACAACCGTATATAGTGTGAATGTACATTAATAATAAAAACCACTGTATTTCAGCAAAAGTTAGTCTTGTAATGTGTCAAACTCACTTTCAAGACAGAAAAAAATCTGAGCATACCAGATTCCAAAGAGAAAACCCTGAATGGATGAAAAAATCACGCATTTAATAGCAATAAAAATGCTTTTCCAAAGGAAAAAAAAAGAGCAGATTTGCTAAGAGGAAGAAAAATTTTATTAATTAAACATACAGCTTGCAATTTAATTAACTGACTTTTGAAGAAAAAATTATTTTTATTGCAAAATATTATTTATATGGAAATATAAAGCTAATGCTACTGCCTTGAAATTGCAAAGCAAACTTGATACTTTGCATTTTTATTTGAAACTCCCCCAAAATACAGCAATAGATAAAAATGAGATAGACCTAACTCTGAAGCTGATCATTTGAACAAGGATGTCACCATGTAAAGGGGCAAAAGATCCATTACATCCATCTACACTAATAAGAGTTTGCCTTTTTCTGAACAGGAAAATACTGGATTTTAAATTTCTTTTAGTAAAAAGTACATCTGTGTGCACATATGTGAATTTATAAATTTGTTTCATTCAAGATTCCAGTTTGATTCTGAGTTTTTCTTCTACAGTTAAGTGTTTACGTGAACTCACTCAGATGTTTGTATTTGAGATAGTGTAGTAGTAATACAGCTATAAATACAAAACCCAGCAACGTTGTATAATACTTTATTATATTGGTATTTTCAGCAAGCATGATCAGAATAACAGGCTGGCAACGGGAAGTTTCTGTGTTCCAGTCCTATTGTATCACTGAGTCAATGTGTCATTCATTCCCTTGTGTTCCTGTCAACCAGTTGTAAAACGTGTGAGAACATATTCTGCACTTTTTTTCTTAAGTGTTTTCTAAATTTAATCTGATATTTTTCTGTGCGGTGTCAAGATGATGTTAGCTCTCCCTTCTTTAGGAAAAAAAAAATACACAATTAAATGCGCTGGCAAAATCTATGTTCATACTACATGATTACAAATTCTGTCAATATGCATATACGCCTATAGCCGTATATAAATCCACATGCTCAGAATTATATCCTGTGCATAGTTATGCATGCAATACATGTGAAGTTAAATAATATTTATTGCTACACAAAAATGTCTTCGGTTAAGGAAGATTGTAAGCTAATTCTAATTTGAATTAGTGTTTAACTTCACTGATGAAAAAAATCAGGAGAAATACTGAAACATTTCTCACCAGCAATATGCACAGTGAAAATATCTCCAAGTTTCTTTTGCTGATCCAGTAAGAATTTGAAAGCATCTTTTCTAAAAATCAGCGCCTTCCCAAGGTAAGGAATCCAGCCATTTATTAGCGGGGGCTCTCCGGTCTTCCTGTTAAAAGCAGGAAAAAAAAAAAATAATCAGAGATTAACTTCTGCATGGGAGCATGCAAAGACACTCATCTTTACACCTATTTATACATTACACTTAGACCCACCATCTACATATATAATTCTTGCAATGTATAATATGTTGTACAGAAAGTTCTTCAGATATGATGGCAGGTTAAATCTAATCACACCTCTGAGCACAGAAGGCTCTGTGTGGTGATTAGGAAAAATAAGTGAGAGAAATTGAGATGCATTTAACTGCAGGTCGTCCAGTTATTATCATCAAGTTACGAATACGGAAAAATGACATTTGGTAGAAAATCTCCCATCAAAGAGTCCTCTCATTTTCAGTATTTGGCATGTCAGAGGAAGATGTATTGGAAGGCAATTATGACAGATTTAGGTAAATAGGACGCTGATTTACCACACAAAACAACTAGCCTTACAGATAACATTTGAAGAATTTCAGTTCACCAGCACACAGAGCAGCTACCATTCTAACTAAATATCTTTAAAATATAGAATAATAATAGAGGCTGAACATTTACCATAATAAATCTTAGTGTCTGTACATTTATAGTCTTCTAAGCTAGGAATGTGTGTGAACAGTTTAAGATGAAATTCTAGACAATCATATTTGCATCCCAGTGTAAAAAAGCAGCCACCGTGTGTTAGTTATGTTTACGGAACAGTATAACATACCTTTTAAGAATCTATTAAGTTACATTTTTCTTTAAAAACGAAAAAAGGTTCCCACACTGTCCTATTCCTGTCTGCAAGTAAATGTCTTTCCTTCATGCTGGTCTTTAGTTGCTTGAATCTGATTTACAACAAAGAAACATAAAGCGTGCTTGCTCTGGAAAGGATTAAAACAAATATTCGTGAACAACTCTGCTGCTACATCCCATCTGTGAAGGTGACTTATACTACATGCAGAACAACCCATTCTGATTAAACACAAGATATTTACTAGCTTGGATCTAATCAAAGATCAAGGGATCACAAGCTTTACTACTATCATACACAGCATGGATTTTTATGTAGCTGGATTAACCCTATCATAGTCACATTCTCCCCTGAACTGCTGTTACAGAAATGAAAAGAAAAAAAAAAAAGTAAACATTATATGCTGTATTTACATTTTTTATTTTCTTAATTAAAACTCCCTGAGCAGGAAATTATAATCCAGAGATTTGTTCTCTTACTCTAAAAAGTTGCTAAAATTTACAGATGAACAGATGTGGCCAAACCAAGCTGCATGTCTCAATCTCTTTCTGTTTAACTAACTACTAGTTCTAAATGTTAGTTTTCAGGAACATCCTTTTGTCCTCTGGAAAAGCAGTAAACCTTCCGGTCCAAACCCAACAATCTCACAGCTGACATGTTTGCCCTGGCTTTATTTTTTTTGGGGGTTTTTATGACTTTGGGGTTCCGTTTGTTTGTTTTGCGGTGTTTTGTTTTTGTTTTTTTTTTTTTTTTTTTTGTTGTTGTTATTGTGAAGAAGGTGGAGCTCCTCTTTTTTCAATACCTCCCATAAACCACTGCATTATCCATCCTTTAGTGGTCATTTAACAACATTATTCACATAAGTGGTTCAGAAAACTTTGTAACCATTAATTCTGTATTAACTGAATACAAGAAAAGAACTAATCTGAGATTACACGAGAGGGATCACCAGCCCTGGAAGCATAACAGCCCCCTTGATAGCCGCAGTTATCCCCTCCAAGCCCATGAAGAATCTGGATAATTTACTCATTTTTTTTCCCCTCAGACTATTAAGTCCTGAGAATGGCTGCCTTTCACTATCCGGGCTGGGCACCACACCCTGTAAGTAGCATTCTGACAAATATTTAGATAGGCTTTTTGTCATCTTCTAATTGAATGCATCTAATTTCACCCTCCATGTTCTGTCATTCGGTCAGAAGCTGTATTCTTCACAAGCTCTCCGCCGGGTAGAAAGAAGGCAGCTCAGAAATCCAGGGGAAAATTAACTTAATGCTCCAAGTCTGTGGGATCACGTCAGGAAGACATTTTGCTATTGCAAAGACGGGAGGGTCATCGTTTGCTTCAGACATGTTTAGCTCAGCAGCAATAAGCTTAACACTGTTAAACACCGTGTCAAGGCTACGTGGCTTTCAGAGGAAAATGTAACACCAGTTCAACTTACGACCCACAGCAGACTGATAACAGAAATGTGTCTTCATTTCTAGCTTTCCTTTTCTTTTGAAGATGGAGGTCATCTCCATGACTTATCGATGGCTGCTAACGCACAGCAAAGAAAAGAGTGCCGCATATATTTTAGTGCCTCCCAAAACACGATGCTTCGCTGCACAAACTTTTAAGCAGCGCAGTGCAGCTGACCCCAGCTTCCTGAAGGACCCTCCCCCTCATCCCGGGCACCTCCAGAAGTTCTCACCGGCTTCAGATGCTACACTGAACCATTAACAAAGCCCACAGAAACTTTTACTGATTAATTAATTTGTTTATGAACATCAATTCTGGATTCACACTACACAGACGTTGCGAAATTTGATAATTAGGCAAAACATTACAAATGTTAAAGTTACGTTTTTCTCATGACGCAATATATATTGTTGTACCAAATGTAAAATATAGCTAAGAAATATAAAACAGCAATATCAAGTGTTTTGATGGCAATTTAAGATTGCAACTTTTTTAACTGAAGCATTCAGAACATCTTACCAGATTACATTTTATTCAGATATAGTTTAAGTGCTTAAATTCTAATTCACTTAACACACCTTATAATATTCCCAGGCCTTTTCACTCCACGTTCCTACGTTTTTTACAGATTGGGCTGGTTTTGCTTATATACAGGAATATCTTCACTTATCTGAGAAGCCTCTGTGAAGCAAGTAAGACTTAACGGACAAATATCTCACATATGTGAGTGAATTTTACAAATAAAGCATCAGCAACATGTCCAATGCAATCTATAAGTAGACGGATCAGTTACAAAGTGGAGGGAAAGCAACACAGTTGTATCATCCATCATTGTTAAATGGATAATTTCAAATGGCATTATGCAAAAATCAGCTGGCTACAAATACAGCCCATAAATAGAGTGAACAGATTTTGATAACTGTATTTTTTTTTTTTTGCTTTCACAGTGAAAAGATACTTCCTTGTCAGCAAGTAATAAAGTTGCAATGTCTACTCCATCAAAGAAGCAAAGTTTTGGAGTTTGTTTACAGTTTCCTTAAGGTAAGATTTTTCAGCTCACCTGAAACACAGAAGTCACTGACACAGGTGTGATCATCAAGCTACTCAGGTAAGGCAGTATTAAAAAATGTGGATGTTGCACCTATGTCTCACTTATGCTAAGCAGCAGTTATGCAATAAAGCGGGAGAAAAACGGGTTGCAACATAAATTGTGCGATAAATAGGTTAAATTTTTTTTTTTTTTTAATTCAAAGACTCTAAACATTATGTTGTCAACTAGTGAATTATTTGGGAAACCCAAATAAGGTCATTTATTAAGCTCTCTGAACATTAACTTTTTTTAAAAATTATTATTATTATTATTATTATTATTATAAAGAAAATGCCCTAAAGATTCACAAGCAAACAGGCTTTGCCAACATTATCTCGCATAGAAATATTATTGCTTTATAAAAGCACACGAGACCATTCTTTTGCTGGTTACACCATTGCAACATCACTGCAGTGTACGGCATTGGACCGGTGTGAGAGAGAGGAGAATCCTTCTCGTTTCACTGGTTATTTGTATTCCAAAGGAGCAGATGCCTTCCAAATTATGCAAAAATCCACAGCGCATCTCATACTATAGCAGATGAACAGGTTAATTTTTCTCTTTGCACGTAATAAATCATAAGTGCTTTAACACCCATAGTCGCATTTCATGAACATAAACCTTCTGTTTAATAATGTCTGTTTACAACTAGAATCAGACATACAGTAATCTCTTGCCTGGGATAAACATTAATCCAGATCTGTCTAGAAAAATTATACAATTCATTACCGTAAGTAATCTCTATTGTGCCCTGTGCTTAACCTTCATCTTTTTTCCTGTCCTATAATCTTGCAAATCCACTGGTGGTGCATGATTGGCATCTGGTGTTAACGCAGCCTTCACTTCACTGCACACAGCGCAGCTGAAGAAGCCCTACGTGGCCACGTCACTCCGCAGGGTTCAGCTGACCGCTTCCCCACGACTTTCACCAAAGGCTGAAAAAACCCCACAAGCTGGGGAGAGTAAGGTCTGACAGTGTCATTTGCCGCAAAGGGGTCATTTTCACTTTCCAAACCATTGTTACTGTCCACAAAAATTACGGGTATCGGTCTGGTTTTCCCATAGCATCTCTGGCCAGACCATCGCATACCACAACCAAGCTGGGCCACACCGTGCTGGGGGACTTTAAGGAATGGAAATGGACGGGTACAGAAGTAGAACAAAAGCTATTATGAACATGTCAAAGCAGTTTGAGCTTATTCACAGGCCCGACCACAATATTTAAGCAACAAGACATGACAGACAGTGTCTTTCCAGCGGCTTAAGAACACTCTAACTGTGAGGAAAAGAATGAGGCCAAAGGCTTCAACCCCAAGAAAGGTAATCCCCAGAAATGTGGTGTCTGGAGTGTCTTTTTATATTATGAGAGAGAGAACATTGGGAACGTAGGACAGCAGAAAGCCAGTAAGTCTGTCTTCCTATTTTTTTTTTTAATATAGCAGTTAGTTTCCCTCCCAGACATTAGGTGTTTTGTATCTATGAGGACAGAAAAAAATATTATCTTCCAAATATTTGTCCACAACACAATTTTTTGTTACCTATAAAATCATGCATGCCTTAAGTGCCTCATCTAGATTATCTACCTCAGTGACCTCCTGGAACTCTAACTTTTCCAGGATGAATACATGCGCTATGAAAAAGTATTTCCTGCAGAACAAGCCAGATGAGAGTTTTAGCAATACACAGTCTCCTAACTCTGCATTTTCAGCTTACATACCTCCTATGGA